AGCTCTGTGTGCTCCTCAGGTGGTGACGGCCGAAGCCTTCGCCGCCCTGGTGGACATGATGTACACGTCCACGCTGATGCTGGGGGAGAGCAACGTCATGGACGTCCTGCTGGCCGCCTCCCACCTGCACCTCAACAACGTGGTCAAGGCCTGCAAGCACTACCTGACCACGCGCACTCTGCCGCTGTCCCCCTCGTCCGAGCGGCCGGCCCACCACCGCCCCCAGCAGGAGCAGCAGAGGCACCGGCAGCCGCCCCCGCCGCCGCCGCCGGCCGACCTGGCGGCCACGCAGAGCCTGGCCAGCAGCGCCGGCCTCGCCGCCACCTCCAAGCTGCAGCGCTCCTTCCTGCTGCAGCAGCTGGGGCTCAGCCTGGTCAGCTCGGCTCTGGGCGGGATGGAGGAGGACGGGCCGAGCGGCCGGGTGGTGGAGCAGAGGGCCTCCTTCCCCATCCGCCGCTTCCACAAACGCAAGCCCTCCCTCGCGCCGGGGCTCCCGGACGAGAGGCCCAGACAGAGGCCGCGGCCCTCGGCGCCGGGCCTGGGCCTGCTGGGGCAGGACGGGGGGAACGCGGAGCGGGAGGACGGAGCCCTCCTCTCGCCCGACTCCCACAAGATGGGGGACGAGTCCAAGCTGGAGCCCAAAGTTGCCGGGCTGGCGTCGGCGTCCCAGCAGGATGACCCTCAAATGCCCAGTCAGTCAGACAGCGGACACTGTGAGGGGGAGAGCTCGGGGAGGATGCAGGGAGGCGTGAACAAGGAAGAGGATGTGAGCGACCAGGATCACCAGGACAACAGGGCAGGGGTCAAGATGAAACCGGGCAAAGAGGAAGAAGAAGTCGAAGAAGACGAACAGAAGGTAAACTGATGACCAGACGCATTCAAAGCCTGACGATCACATGACTTTAGACTTTTGGAATCGTGTTGTGGTCTTATTGGTCACTTGGTCACACTGTAGCCATCTACACTTTTCCTTTGCAAAATGAATTTGGTTTATATTATTTATACCTGCTTTTTTTTTTTTTGTCTTTTACATCTGTCCATCACTTACTTTGTAATATTTTGTTGTGCTATTTGTAGGTCACAGACATTGGAAACTCCCCCTGTAAATACTTTTACGGATGCCTCCCCTAGGCTTGTGTTTTTCTCTCTCGGCCCTTGTGTATTTTTTTCTTTTGCACGGCTGCTGTAAGATGTAACATGTGGGTTTCCCCAACGTGGGATCAATAAAGTCATCTAACCCAAAAATCTAAGCTAAGGATACGCTCAGTGGAAGTCGGTCGTCAACCGGGCAACGTCTTCTTTGCGTCCGCAGGTGATGGTGAAGCGCGAGCCGCTCAGCTCGCCCGAGGCGGCCGACGAAAACAGCGACGTGACGTCGCCGGCGGAGGGCAGCGACCCGGCCGAGCGCGGCTGCCAGGAGGAGGAGGAGGAGAAGGTGGAGCTGAGCCCGGAGAGCAGCGACCGCAGCTTCACCTCCGAGCCCCAGCCCAGCTCCGGCCCCCTGCTGCAGGCCGGCCCCCAGCTGCTCCTCAAGGCCGGCGGCGGCATGGGCGGCGGCGGCGGCAGGGCGGGGGGGTTCGGCTGCGGCGGCAAACCTGGTTTCAACATCTCCAGTTTCCTCGGCCCCAAGGACTTTGGGGGCGGCGGGTCCGGGCTGGCCGCCGGGGAGGACGACCTCCCCAACACCACGACCGGAGACGTGGCCGCCGCTCACCACTTCCTCCTGAGGCAGGACGCCGTCCGGCCGCCCGGCTCCGCCCCTTCCTCCCTCCTGCAGCCGGGCCCGCTGGACGGCGAGCGGCGCGGCGGCTTCGGGAACAGCCTGCAGGCGGATCCTCTGTTCCTGCGGCCCCTGCACGACGGCCTGGGGAGCCCCCGAGGAAGCGGCGGCGGCGGTGGGGGGGGGCGAGGAGGGGTGGACCCCTTCGGGCTGGACTTCCAGCGATCCAGCCTGGGCCTTCACTCCCTGGGCCGCTCCTCCAGAGGGCCGGGGGGGGCCACCGCCGCCGCTCTGGGTTATCCCAGCTACAGGCGCATCGCCCCCAAAATGGCCCCCGGCATGGCGGGCGAAGAGGGAGTGGGCGGCGCCCTTCAGGACGTCGCCTCCTCCTCCTCCTCTTCCTCCAGCCTGGCCAGTCCGCTGCTCCTCAACGAGAGCGGGGGCTACGAGATGGGCGTCGGCAGGCCCACTTCCCTCCCCCCCCAGCTGACCAGGGCCTCCGCCGACGTCCTGTCCAAGTGCAAGAAGGCGCTCTCCGAGCACAACGTGCTGGTGGTGGAGGGGGCGCGCAAGTACGCCTGCAAGATCTGCTGCAAGACCTTCCTCACCCTGACCGACTGCAAGAAGCACATCCGGGTGCACACGGGGGAGAAACCCTACGCCTGCCTGAAGTGCGGGAAGCGCTTCAGCCAGTCCTCGCACCTCTACAAGCACTCCAAGACCACCTGTCTGCGCTGGCAGAACAGCAACATGTCCAACACTCTGCTGTAGGCTCAGAGCGGGAGGAGGGCCACTCCCAAAGCGGGAGCAATTTTTTAAAATTTTTATAAAAACTCTGAAGGAACTTCTTTATCTCCTCACCTGCTCTGGCCGAACTGACAAGTCACGATCGCAGACCAAAGAAAGGGGATGGCGGTGTGATCTCAGCCGTTCTTCATCGGGACATGCCCTTATTCCCAAGTTTCTTTGTTTTTAGGAAACCCTTTCGTGTCGTAGGGGAAAAGAAAAAAGAAGACAACGGTGCAGGATGAATGGAAACGGAGAATAGACTGCTTTCGGGTCATTTTATTGTGTTATGGTCGCCGTAGAGAAGTTCTAAACGTCATACGTCTCCGAGGATGGGCTTTCAAGGCTGTGGGCGGCGTTGCGTGTCAAAGCAAACACAGTGGAAGTCGCGAGCTGCCAAAGCAAATCGCTCTCGGTTCCACCAAGAGGCAAATTTTGACGAAGTTGTGGCTGAATCCTTTGCATTATCCAGATAAAGCGTATGTAGCAGCGCCCCGCCGAGCTCTCCCCGCTGTACAAACGGAAAGCGGTGAAGGGACTCAAAGCTCCTGGGTGTGTTCTTCTTGCAGTAGTGTACATGCTGACTGTGCCTTGTTCAGAGCACCTTCACGCAGAATGAGACTGATTCCTCTAACGTGCCATACGCCGTTTGTGTGTAAATACCAAGAACTCACAATTATGTGCGATATGTCGGGGGGGGGGGAGATAAATCGGTGCTGTAGGGACAGTTCTGAATTAAGCTTAAATCTGTAGCTATTGGGAGTCCTGTACTCTATTCAAACACTTTATATGTGTGTATATATATATACACATACATATGTGTGTGTGTATATATATGTATGTGTGTTTATATATGAATATGTATATACATACATTCACACACACGTATATATAAACACTTTTTTATTTGTTGTTTTTTAATGTTGTCTGCTGGATTTTATTCGTTTGTATGTATTATTTTGAATTCAATCCCTAAATCAGGTCAGGAAGATTTTTTTAGTACAACCATCAGCAATAGTGTTGGTTAGTCTAAAGAACGTAAAACGTTCTTACTCTTAGCTGCAGGCAAAATAAACATTGCAGTGGACAGCGTTGAGAACTTTCTCTAGTCGTGACACACACGTTGAAATGACCATCGATCCGTCTCTCCTCACTTTCTGCTTTGGCCGGTTACCTTGAAGTGGAAGCCCCACTGTAAATACGCCCACTTTTATCCCGGGTCTCCGGTCAGTGTGGCCGGTGATAGGGAAGCTGAGGAGTTAAGCGAGTGATGGTCTGAAAATATCCGTCTAAGCCGTGGCCAAAAAAGAAAAACAGATAATAAAGTTTGCATACGCACGGCTGTTGTTGGACAGATTGTCATACACGTAGTTTTGGGTGGGGGGGTTTTAGAAATGTAAATATTGAAGGAAAACACATGAAGCACTTGACATTTCTATATGTTGCCTACTGTACTGCAAGTGCTCAGTACATGTTTCTTCTAGTTCATGTTGTGTTGCATCTAACACAAAAGCAAATTATGTAACTAATATGTTTGGTGGAATGTAGGATTTTGTGGAAAGGTGGCTATGATCTGACGTTGCATCTGGGTCTGAAAGCCAAGAGTTTAGGATTTTTGTTTCTCTTTTTTAAGCGGGCAATCAATCATCTCTGCTGGTCATTCAAAAACAAATATTTTTACATGTTTTTTTTTTTCTGTAAGTTAGATGGACTCGAGCTGGTCAAGAGTTTCTTAACTGAGAACGTCGTTCCAACAGTGTTGTAGAGTTCTGTTTTAGTGAACGTAAATTGAAAAAAAAAAGTTTGCCTTTTCGTATTGTGTATTCTTGATGTGTCGTGACATTGGGTGCTGCTCTCAATCCCTGTCGGCACCTTAATGTCGAGTCTTTACACTGTCAGCCTGCATAGTATCCATGGTAACGCATTTACTTAAGACACTACACGCTTTATTTAAGCAAATTAGCCTTTTTTTTAATCGTTACCCCTGTAAAGGACCATCTGACCTGGTACCTGTCACATATACTCAGCAGTGAAGTAGCTCCAGTTCAGCCGCAGAGTAGAAAACGACCACAGATGGATAAATGTGCGACCTAACTCATCCGCCCAGACTGACCATGGATGCACTGACCGCTCCCCCCAACCCAGTGTGAGTGCATCAGATTTTTGTGTTGATGATACCACAGGCTAAAAGTCACTGCCTTAGGCCCTGTAGCTTTAAAAAAAAAAAAGCTGGGCTTCGGTTCGTTTGCCAAAACGGAAGCCTTTCTCTCTCTGTGTAAGTCCACGTCGTGTTAACCATGAGATGGTTCGACGCTTTTGTCTCTTTACTGTTCGAGGTCAAGAAGATTGTAACGGATGTTTCGGTTGTTGTTCGGATTGAATAAAAACCACAAAAAAACTCGGTGCGATTGTCATTTTGTGAATTTGGCAGCACAACATTTACAGGTCCTAGATTCATCTCATCACACCAATTCTTCTGAGCTCCAGTTTCTCTTTACAGCTGGAGCTCTTTGATCATCGGCTCGTCCCTCAGGCCGAGGAGGAGGTTGTTGGCCGCCAGGGCGGACATGGCGTTCCGGGTGGTGTAGGAAGCGCTGGCGATGTGTGGGAGGATCACTGTGGAACGAGACAATTCAAAGAACAATTTAAAAAAAGGGTTTGCTGTGAGCAACGGGGGCGGTGAGGGTGCGATAGTCCAGCAACCGATGCGAGTGTCTGAGCAGCTCACCGCAGTTTTTGAGGGTGAACAGCGGGTGGCTGGTGGGCAGAGGCTCGGGGACGGTGACGTCCAGTCCGGCGCCCGCTATCTGACCGGTGGACAGGGCCTCGTACAGATCGTCCTGGTTCACCACCCCACCGCTGACGAAACACAACAGAAAGCACACGCTGGTCGACAAACACAGATCATGCACTTCTGACTGTGGTCTTTTTTTTTTTAGAAAGTCAATCATATCAATTCATGCTAAAACGCTCTAAATGAACCCCCTTGTCAGTGTATCATCTCATTGAACGTTAGCTGATATCTGTCATCAGGCCGCCTGCTTGAAAAGGTGTTTGAAGCCGATGGAGGGTGTGTCTTGTTTGTTTGCGGTGGGAGTACCGGCTCGTGTTTATGAAGATGGAGGTCTTCTTCATCTTGGAGAAGAAGTTCTTGTTGCAGATCTCCTTTGTCTCTGGTGTTAGGGCGCAGCACATCGCCAGGAAGTCCGACCGCTTTGTCAGCTCATCCATGGATACTAGAGCCAGCGACAGTCAGAAAAACTATTATTGAATAGCATTTAAAGCGGTGACTTTTGGCCATTTAGCTCATTCCAATCGCGACGGTGTATGTTTTGCAAGATAACACATGAGCCAGTACTGTCCACATAACCGGATAACAAACTGAGCGACTATAAAGTGGTTTTCCTCACCGTATTCTGCATTGATCTGTTTGGCCAGCTCAGGTCTGGGGGCCACATCTGTGTAGATGAACTTCTTCACTTTGAAAGGTGCAAGACGCTCTGCGATAGCCACACCTTGGGGCACAAACACAGACACACACAGATAGAAGAAAAAGACGAAGATATTATACGAAGTCACTTAGTGGTGACCTCCCAAAGTTCTCCTGCTTTACGCACCGATCCTTCCTAGGCCGAAAATGCCCACAGTGCTGTTGGCCAGCTCGTACCCACACAGCCACAGAGTTCTCCACGTGCCCCAACCCCCGCTGGTAACAAGTCAGAGATGAAAAAGGGTTAGATGCAATCGGTGGCGTGGTGTGTTTGTGGTGTGTGTGTGACATTACGTCTTGGCTTCATGTGTGGCCTCGATGAGCCTCCTGGAGGTGGTGAGGAGCAGAGCCACGGTCAGCTCAGCAACAGCGTCGGTCAGAACCTCAGGGGTGTACCCCACACGGATTCCTCTGCGTTGGGGGGGAAACACACAGCGTCACACATCCAGGTCTCCGGATGTTTGAATGTGCAGCCTTATCTTTGAACAACCACAAACGGAAAATCTGATATGGAGGCAAAGAAAAAAAAGACAGTAACCACCTGTTTTTCAGCTCCTCTAAAGACAAATGATCAAAACCCACAGACATGGTGCTGATGACCTTCAGGTTTGGACCTACAGGACGTCACACACATAAAAAAATAGACTGAGTAACAGTTCATGGAATTTAAGTTGACCTATTCACTCGGGGACTGTCCTCTCACCTGCAGCATCCAGCAACTCCTTGTCGATCTTTTCCGTCAGCACGCAGAGCAGACCGTCGACGCCTTTGACTTTCTGGAGCAGCTCTTTCCTCGGAACTGGGACATCGTCCGAGTCCCACAGCTCAAACTGTACTCTGAGGGAGAAACGAGCTCAAAATGAGGGTCTGAAACTAATCGTCTATGTCCTAAGAGAGAAGTATTCGTCAGAATAAAGACTCAGATAAAACTCCTAGTTTGATGCAGAATATCTAATCCAGTGGCATATTAATCCCAAAGCGAGGGAATACCTTTTAGACAAACAAGAGTTCAGAATCTAGCCAAGCTACTGCCAAACATTAACTCAAGGGTACATATTGAACACAGCACAGCTCGAACTGTGCGTACATCACGTCAAATTTGCTGCACCGGCCCAGTCCTTTAATCATTTAAAGCGTTTTCATTTGAAATAAAGTTCGAAATGCGACAGAAGGACCATTTTCTGACTCACTGTCCGGATTCTTTGAGGATCTTCAGGCCCTCAGGTGGGATCTGTCGGGTGACGTACACCCTTGATAGGGAGGACATCTCTCTCTGAGCTTTGCTGGTCAGACCCCCGGCGATATTCAAAGGAGCAGCAATCCTCTGGAGCCGACGCAGTGCCATGTGACAGCTCCACATTGCCAAGAGCAGGGAAAACTGCAGGGGATGAATGTGGAGTACTTTGGAGTTTAGAGTCTGCTGCAGGCATGCACACAGTCCTGGCCTCGCTTCAGGGGGAGGTTCCTGTATGCGTTTGACCAATATGATGAAAGGGAGGGGGCCTGTTTGGTCTGAAGGTGAGGGATAGCGTTCCCAGATAAACAAGACACAAAATCTTTTGAGGTCGGTTTTTGACTGGAAAAAGGGAAAATTTTGATTTCTTTTGTTGTTGTTGTTGTTGGCATTTCAAGCCAAATGTCTCCCCAACAGAGTAAGAGATTAAGGACAACACAAACTCACAAAGACAAACAGAAATATCTCAAATACTGGAATAATTTGGTGTTTTTCATGTATCACCATCCAGAACCGGAGCCAGATGTAAATGTTTCACTTGGCCGTTGACCTTTGTATCTTTAAACAGTGAAACACCAGGTGTTCTGATCTGCGTCTCCAGCTTGGACCGGTTCAGCAATCTCTCTGGATCCCTAAAAGTGTAGTTATGCAATGTAAAGCTTTATATTATGGAAAGGTCAAACATATGAGCACAGATTTCCAACACAGCACAAAGGCATAGTACATATCTATTCAATACTGAGCGATCATGATTGTTCAAAGGTTGAGGTTTAAATGTTCTAACGAATATCTTTGTCTGTATTGTATTAAAAACATTGGCGACATGATAATGATTGTCCTCAGCCTGAAAGAAACACGCCTTCCTGTTAAATAGGAATAGTGTCAGACCTAAAATCCCATTAGAATATCTAAATAACAGTTCATTTTTGTGTCTTTCAGACATAATTTTAAGTGAACTCACCTCTTGTAATATCAAAGTTTTCAGTATCACGCGAATTGTACGATCCACACGTGTCTAACTCACTATATTTCTCTTTCTTTTTAAACCTCCTGTATAACTACATGCTGGATGTGTTAGAGTAGATGGATGAATTAATCTGAATTCAACATCTAAACATTTTTAGTTGAAATTCCCTTAATTCTTTTTTCCTTTTTTTTTGATGGATTTATTTGCTTTTCTAAGTTTGGCCTTATTTAATATAAAACGCCAGAAGACAAACAAAAAAAAATCAAAAAGTCACTATGATATAATTGGTTTTTGTTGGTCATGTGATTATTGTAACCCGGAAACAGTTCGAGATTTCAGCCAGTCAGAGCCATTCATTCGCTGTAGCCGTCTCGCCAACTGTCAGGTATCTACGTAGAGTGTTTAGCAACATTTTAAAAACATTAACAAGATATTCAACATTTTTGCGTGTGCACATTATTTTATCTACATCATTTGGATTATGTGGCGAGTTTTTTGTGGCCTAACATATGTGTCATCACTTTTAACTAGTTCACGAGTTTCCTGACCACCGGCACCAGGCAGTAGTGGCACTCATTGCTAGCTAGCTGTAGCTGCTAGCAATGAGCTTTCCTCAGCAGCTTCATTAACCAGCTCGACCTATTTTATTTCTATGTGACATTTGTAATGAGATTTGACAGTCAGTGGTTACTAGCCTCTGTCCCACCGCTTATAGTTGTGTGGTCAGCAGTTTCGCGGAGCTGTCAACTAGCCGGCACTAATAGTTTGTTAGCTATATGGCTAACATACAGCAGGGCGTTGGTTTAAATAATTTCTGCCATGGACTCATTACTGTCTGTGTATGTTTTTATTAGGCTGAGTTGCTATCAGTGAGACTGCAGAACCCCCCTTCCCTTCCCAGTATGGCTGCAGACCTGATGGAGATTGATGACTCCCTTTACAGGTAAGTTGATCTTGTGGCAATCTTATAGATGAATCAGTGAACCCGAAATCACAGAAATCAAGGTCTGACAGTCAACACAGTAAATGACAGAGCTGTTCTGCATGCCAGTCAGCGCACTTGTTGTTCTTCAATACTACTCACCACATACTTCCTTCATCCCTCCCTCCAGTCGCCAGCGATATGTGCTTGGAGACTGTGCTATGCACCAGATGGCCCGGTCATCAGTATTTCTCAGTGGGATGGGAGCACTGGGGGTAGAGATTGGTAAGGATACTACACATTTTAGCTCAACATTATTTTTTTAGATTTAATACCAAATATCTCAACTAAGTGCGATGTGAAACCAAGCATTTTGTTTTTACAGCAAAGAATATCACCCTTGCTGGTGTGAAGGTAGGCTTGCTTCACTCATGTTGTGATTTTTTTTTTTAAGCATCCTGCACATAGAGCCCTCTAATCTTTGCACTCGTGTGTTCTCTTTGTCCAGGCGGTTACTCTTCATGACACTAAGCTATGTGAGACCTGGGATCTTGGCCTCAACTTTTTTATCCGCAAAGATGATGTATTGAGCCAGCGGAGGAGGTAATGCAGGCCTCACAGTGAAGCTATGGGATTCATATGCCGATATGTGGACTGCTAAAGGAAAAGAGACCACAAAGTGACAGGCTCAGAAAGGACAGCAACAAAAAAATCCTCCAAAAGACATTGCCTTATTGAGTGTATGAATTACATTGCTATATGACTGTGGGAAATTAAAGTAAACTTTAATAATTATCAAATTTATCGTAGTTTAAAAACAAAACAAAACAATACTGTCAAGAAAAGCCATATCAGAGAAAAACTGAGAGATCCTCAAGTTTGAGTGTTTGTTGTATATGGGGATTGTTTTTTAATTAGTCACTTGGCTTGCCTATCATTCAGGTCTTGGATATGCTAACCTAGGCTTGTATGTTGCTGTCACAGGGTAGAAGCAGTGTGTCCTCGGGTCGCAGAGTTGAACCCCTATGTTCAGGTTGAGATGTCTTCCTCCCCTCTTGACGATAATACCGATCTCAGTTTTCTCAGAAAGTATCAGGTAAGCAGATGCCTATTCGAATCTGGTCCCTGCCAATGTCTCCAAAATATCTAGGGAAGCACCCAAACCTTGAGATTTATTAGAAAGCTTCTATTTATAGTAGTTTTACAATAGATCTAAGATGTTATGCATGGAAAAAAACACATTTGCTTTCTCTAATAGCAGCATTTCTGCTCATAATTGAACATCTTTGGAACACAAAGTCTTGATGCAGCAGTTAATTTGAGTTCAATGCAATGCTATAACGTGTTTAAAATGGGTTTAGAGTTTAAATTGAATGTGAGCTGAGTTAAAAAGCAGTGTTGTTCTGCCCTTGCTGTTGCTAACTGTGGTTAATGTTTGGTGTCCGTTGTATTTTCTCTTGCAGTGTGTAATTTTGACAGAGGCCAGTTTAAACCTGCTCAAGAGGGTAAATGAGTTCTGCCACTCACAACAGCCTCCCATCAGAGTAAGTTTGCAATCCCCGCTGTCTTTCTGTTACACAAGATCAGCCAAAAGGATGGAAACACTCACATTCTCCAAGCAAAGCGTTTGGCTGTTTATTGATCAAACCGCTCGCCCTGTTTTTGTCTTCATTCTTTCTCCGGCAGTTCATCTGCTGTGACTCGCACGGCATCTGTGTTCGAGTGTTTTGTGATTTTGGAGAGGAGTTTGAAGTGTCCGATCCCACAGGAGAAGAACCAAAGGAGATCTTCATCCAAAGTATATCACAGGTAGGCCTCAGTCCCTCACATTCAGTGCCCCTAAAAGGATCCAGCGAACAATTTGATATGATGTACAGATGGTCCTCCGTTCACCTTTGGTTGCCTTTAATTTTTTCTCTCCATTTTTTAAAGAGTTATAGATGTGTGCATGAAGATTTTTTTGGATCTGCACTTTGTATTTGATTTCTTTTTTTCTTTTGTTAATGTATCATTGTACTAAACCCATTCTTATAAGCGTTTTGGGTGTTTGTTTTTTCAGGATAATCCTGGAGTTGTAACCTGTATGGACAACCAGCCTCATGGTCTACAGACGGGACAGAGTGTAATCTTCAGAGAGGTGGTGGGCATGGCGGAGCTCAACGCCACCGCACGACAGGTTTCAGGTATTGCATTCCGTCTAAATGGAGATTCTTTCCATTTAAGATCAGAAAAGATGACATTTGTCCCATTTTGTGTTCGTTGTGCCAGTCATTTCCCCTTACAGTTTTTCAATCGGAGACACGTCACAGTTCCAACCATATTTGCACGGAGGGTTTTTTCTACTGGTGAAAACCCCTAAGACATACAAATTTGTAAGTTGAATAAAATATCTCAGTTTGGGAAAGGAAAAAATAATAGAACTTCAGATAAGCTATGCTGACTGCGCATATGGATATCTCCTTTTCTTTTTCCAGGAAACTTTAGAACAACAGCTTTGTGATCCTCAGGTCCTGATTCCAGACTTCAGCAAACCAGAGGTGAGTTAAAAGAAGGTTGTTAAATGGCTGACGTTGGGTTATCCAGCATACTTAATCTGGTTCTCATCAGAGGCATGTTACTATGGTCAGCTCTCCCAAGCTCAGTGACACCGTTTGAAAGTAAATAGTAAACACGTACACAAACAAGTGGAAAAATCATCAGCTTTTTCTTGGATCTAACCGAGGCAAAAACTTGGGGCCGTTTTGTCCAACTCCTGTTTTGAATGTATCCATCAGGCTCCTCTGCAGATCCACGCAGCCATGGTGGCTCTGGACGCCTTTCAGGAGCAGAACTGCAGACTTCCCAACGTTGGGTGAGGAGAATTTACAGCACAACTGTATATTTTGTATCTCGGGCAGCCCTTGAGGGCACAGAATCGGGCCTCGCCGTGGTTTCTGAAACGTGACAGGACTACCAACGTCTTGATCCGTTTTTGCTTTGACTCCTTCAGGTGTTTACAGGATGCTGAGCTTTTACTGAAATTGACTGAAGAAGTCAACGCGACTTTAAAGAACAAGGTGAGTCGAAGGAGCTTTTTTGGTTTGTATTCTGAATATCACAGATATTTTACAAAAAAGCTTTTATTGCTGATATGTCAGTATTACCCTGAGTCAGCACGAACAGGCAGGATTTGATGGAGGATCGGTGCACAATTCTTTTAGGTTGTGACGGGGTACAAATGTTACAGTGAATGGAATT